ATACTCTACCGATGAAGAGGCGCCCCAAGACATGAATGCTCTATACCACTTGAAACAGAAACGAAACGGTGATGTTTTTAGGCGTACGCAAACCCTGAGAAAGTGAACGAGAGGCTGCCGTAATGTGCCATGAGACTCCTTACTGGGGTAAACAAAGTATAACCCCTGACAGATACTCTACCGATGAAGAGGCGCCCCAAGACATGAATGCTCTATACCACTTGAAACAGAAACGAAACGGTGATGTTTTTAGGCGTACGCAAACCCTGAGAAAGTGAACGAGAGGCTGCCGTAATGTGCCATGAGACTCCTTACTGGGGTAAACAAAGTATGCATGATTCACAAGGACGCTCCTGAATCAACCCTAGGAATTCCTGACTGTGGAAACGAGCCCCCAAAATGTACGAAAGCTTACTTCTGACCAGCAGGGACTAGCACTTGAAGTACCAAAAATTTAGGTAATTATCCTAACTTTTAAAAAACCTTTTGTCTGTCTGCCCTGGACTATGGTTTGTATATATTTTTTAAAAATACATTCATTCAACACTAAAAGGTTTAGGGTTACATTCTGATCTATCTCCTCATCTTTCTGTGAAGTAATGTAATGACCTAAGCAGTATTCAGCACTGTTAAATGAATGTGTCCTAGGCAGACCACTAAAAAATTCAGCACCATTTATTGATTGATTAACAGTCCCAAAACTGGCTGTGCTTCTCATTGTGTTTAAAACAAACTGGGTCAGTAAACCTTTTTAACGTAGTAAACCCAGAAGATCAAGGAAATCCCCATAAGCATTATATACACAAACCATGGGTTTATACTACCCTATAAAAACCTTAAAAAGGTGTTAATAATTTTATGAAAAAATGGTTTGTGTTTATTGAATATCTTACTGCTTGTCAACCCCGATTATATGGACTACCTCAGAAATATAGACTTTGTGTTTTATTAACAAGTATTGTATGTATGGAGAACATTTCTATTCTTGTTTATTAGATGCTGTTGAAAGATACTGTATACAACTAACAAGTAATACAGGATGTAAAAATATATAAAACTCAATAAAATGCTATTTTTAAAAAATTAAAATATTGTATACTTGTCTCATTTGCCACGGAGTAAAATTCATAACTGTGCTTTGCTGATAATCTAAAGTTAACGCTGTTATGACAGATAAAGGGGCTCTCCTGCATTCTCCTCACTTGTGTGTTCCTGTTGCATCGGGGGTTCTTTTCTGTTCTGCAAACGTTTTGCTCCCTCTAGTGGTCAATTCAATATTACACAGCTTTATGTCTGGCATAAAAACCTGCCGTTTGCATTTGCAGGGAGATATACCAGACGGAAAACAATGTAATATCGAACTCACCACTAGAGGGAGCAAAACGCTTGCAGAACATGATCCCCCCCCCCCAAAAAAAAAGAACAGGAACACACAAGCGAGGGAAATGAGAATGCGGAAAAGCCCCCAAAGAATCTGACCATCTTTCTCTGAAGATCTGATTTCTCAAATACCCTGTTCTATCCACAGACTGCCAAATGGAGTTCACATAACTGAAATCCTAATTTCCCTCTCTCTCTTTCGATTGTTCCTGTAGCTAAATCTTCGGCTGCATGACATTTCCATTGGTTATTAGAATGATGGGGATCCTCTCAACAATGATACGCAGACGTCTAAATCTTTGGTACTCCCCTGTGCAGATCGCACTACTGCCAGAACTGCCTCCTTTTAGGGTTATCCTGAGAGAGAATCAGCTGATTAATTAAGAATACTGAGATGCATACATATAAAATAGGTCCACCACACAGGGAGCTCCTCCAACTGAAACGAAAGCCAAGGTACACAACGGACAGCCTCACATATATCTGTCTGTAATCCAAACTGCAGCTGGGCGGGGGGGATCCCATATTAAGACAATGTATAGAGAAACCTCTCAACGCGTTAAAGACAAAAACTAGGCTAGAACTGTCTCCCTATGCTAGGGCCTTTTGATGTGCAGATGTCTAAACACACACACAGCAACAGACATTCAGTTTTACCAACAGCAGTCTAAAAGTAGTACAATCCAGCAATACACAAGGCTGCCACCGCTTTCAGACCACAGCCAGTTTTATGACGCTGAGCGACCTCCCCATTATGATCATTATTTAGTACCAAGTAAGGTAATCTCTATTCTGATACAAAGATGGTTTAGAACCAGCCCGGACAGAAGCTTGTTTGGATAATCAAACAATGCTGCCATCCGCTGCTGATGTCTGGAGTAAGGGGATACGAAAGCACACAACTTTTAAATAAAAGTTTAATCCTACCTTCTACTCAGGAAGGGACCCCCAAAAAATGGGGGGGGGGGGATAAATTAGCTCCCTTAGAATAACCTGAACATTTCCCAAATCTTTTTGCCTTAGTTTATAGCTGCCAAAGAGACCAAGCACACAGTGAAGAATTTGGGAATGAGAGGAGTTTTTAAACAAGAGCTGACGTAGATTTCATCATTCGGCATTAAAATACAAATTGCAGTGAAATAAAATAAACAAAAATGGGAAACTGAACAATAGTACAACACAAATAAGTGCCAGAATAATGCATCGTAAACTACTGGGGGGGGGGGGGGGGGGGGGACCCTAAGCGCAGTCACACACACACACACGCACAAAAGTAAAACTCTTTTTTTCTCTGACCTCAATATACTATAATACTCAGCATTCCTGACTTAAAAGCTCTCAGAGCTATAGATTATATACTGTGTATATATATTTTATATATGTACATATTTTATACACAAGCATTTCTCAAGAATATCTGTTAGAAGAGCACCTTGGGCAATTATCTTAACTGCTGGCAGGGCGCCTTTTTCTTTTGTAAAATATAGAAACTGTACTTTAAACCAGTTCTGCATATGGTGACTATAATGGAGCTAGCCCTTGCTACGCCTTCTTTTCAGTTAAGCCTGGCAACGAACTCTAGGCTTTTTAGCAGTGTTCATGTTACGCAGAAAAGGGGCTGAATGTATAAACAGAAGCCGAGAACACAATCTTGCTTTTGACTCAATAAATTATACAAAATGAGGTGTTTTTGTTTTGTTCTCTAAAAAATAAAAATTGCCTTCTGCTCCTTTTGGCTATTAGAACTGCAAAGCATAATCCAGCTCGACTGGCCAACTCAATGAGGAAATTTTTAAATTTCCTTTAGGGAATGCAAAATGCCCAGTATTGGATTACTGAAAATTGATTGAAATGTTTTATCTTATTGCTGGTGACAGATTCCAGAATCAAAAACCCTGAATTTACTTATAGGGCAATCACAGAAGATTTAGCAACGTCATAAAGCGTATCTGCTTTGGGCCTCCTCGATAGACCCAGCTGCGTTTCGGAAAAGGACACGCTTAGGGTCTTCCGTAATAGCCCATTCCACTCAGATGCCATCCTCTTCTCGGTTAATTTCCAAGGATGCTAATTTAGAAGAAGGTCATAATGGTGGCTTCTCTCATTAATCCTGCAATTATTGCATCGTTTAATACAATTCAAATGCGTTATATCACAGCGAAACAGCCTGCTTCAGGTAGAAGCTTAAAAAGAAATAAAGAAATTCCCCAAACAAGAATCCCAAACACAGCTTTCAACAAGATTAGCAATACATGAATTTCTCCTACGAAAACAGTAAGGGTGCATGATTCTACCAGAAATTAATGGGGGAGTGTGTGTGGGGTGGGTGGGAAAGAACTGACTGCATAGTATAAGGGAATGTAGTAAAAACGACATAGTCTCTGCTTTTAAATCTTTCCAAGGATCTGCTTTTTTTAAGAAGGCTATTTATCTGACCAAAGGCTTCCTTTACTGGCTGCAGTTTTTAAAACTAATTTCATAAAATCTATGCTCTGCTGATTGAGGCAACTCAGAGTAAAAAATATTTTACCAACATGTCGAAATACCTGAGTTTAAAAAAAATTGGGAGATAATTTTAACAAGAAATTGAGAACAGGCGACGTAAAAATGCTCCGTAACGTATGAAAGTTTCTCTGTTCATAGTGCTATTGTTGCTGTTTCCAGTCATCTGCCATACAAATTAAAACAAACAAACTGACCTGAAACTCTCTTGTCCTGCATAAAGCTGTGAGGATTAAGAGTTTTAAACTCTCCTCTTAAACCTCATGGAAAGCACCTGCCCTCTTAAAACAAAACGACTACCCTCTAGCAATGCTGCAGATGTTCAACTCAATGAATCCCCCCCCCAATGGCTTTATCTATCAACTAATGCTCCACCAACAGGTAGGGCAGGTTTCTTTTACGGGCATGCTTGTATACGTGAAGACGAAAATAACAGCAGGGACCAGAAACGCATTTCAGGGATAACTATCTTACCTAATGATCCCAGGCAACATGATTCTGATTCTGGTAGGCCAACACCCCCCCCTCCCCAGCCAATCAAAGCCCATATCTTTTTTGATAGACAGGGAATTGTGTTCACCAGAGTTTACTGTTTTAATTATAATGCACTTAAGAATCTTGCCAAGAGGACAACAGGCTCTTTTAAAAACTAGACAACAGGGAGAAATCTTTAGAGAGGATCTAAGATGCCCTGGTTGGTTTGTCTTTCTTTACCGACTCTATCTGGTGTGCCAGCTGAGCGTCTGCTTGTGGTTGCCTTGGACAGTATAGCCACTGGATAAAACACAACGGAAACCACTGCACTTTAATGCACCGTTCTTCTTCCAGATTGTGCCTCCCTCTTCTAGGTCTCAACTCCGCTTTACTGCTTCTGCTCTACTGTTTACAATGAGTTCATATCACACCAGGATATCAATGGTACTGGATTGTTGACTGCATTCAGAAGGCAGAATACATGACATTTCTTTAAAAGAAAACTGCAGAGAATTAATTAAGGAACCAAGGTTATCTTTTTTACGTTCTGGGGAAGCTTCTAAAAAAAACTCCAAACAAAACCCAGATGGAGATTATGAGCGACAAAAAAGCACACAACTCTGTGAGTTCATTCCTTCCCCGCGAGTGCATGTCCTTTGGCATCATCCTACCATACAGCAGTTTGAGAATGGATATTTGAAACCTTGCAACCATTTGGCAACCACTGTTTCCTTGGAGGAGTGTCATACCTTGGTTCGGCTCGGGAGTGGGGTGCCCAAAGGATACTTCCGGACAGAGGCCGGGGCGACTGATATTCCGGCAAGTTTAGCACTAGCTCCTGAAACGCTGGTGACAAACATCACTTTCCCACAATACCTTCACAAGAGAACATGATTTACTCCTTGAAGAGGCTGGGAGGTGAGGACGTCTGTTCTTGTTCTTCACACTCGGGGCAGGCTGGGATGAAAATAATTTTGCAGGGAGAACGGGGAAGGGGGAGTAGCGGAGGCAGGTGATTTCAACATTCACAGTTTAATGCAAAGCACAGACGAATTAAATTCTGCAGTTGCTCTCAGGCAGTTTTGCGCGTAGAAAAAAAAAGAAATGTTTACAAAATAAACAGTTTGCTTTTGTCTTTCTGGCTGTCGCCAAACCAGTCTCTGTCCCATGTTAACAAACCAAAGATGGGAATCTAAAATTAATCCGATTTGTGGCAATAGAGGTCCTTAAGTGCTTTTAGCTCTTCAATCAATGTCTTGTTTTGGTTTTCAAGCACAGCCACTCTGTTTTCTAGACACTTGACGTATTCCTTTTTCTTCCGGCGGCACTCGCGTGCTGCCTCCCTGCAAGCAAAGAAGAAGGTATTTAAAACAATATGCAACTATGATTAGCTAACTTTAAACTTTGATAAATAAGGCTATGCTGGACAAACATCTTAATAAATTTAGGGAGGACGTAACGTGGCTCCAGGCAAATGATCTATATCTTGACTGAGCACTACATTTCTGCTATAGGTCAAATGAAATTCTAAAGGAGACATTTACTCAACTGTGCAGGCGCTTACAGTCGTTCACAGCCGTTCACAGCCGTGCAAAAAGACAACAGGAGGCCAGTGAAACACAAGGATGCTGCTGGCTGTTAAGTCAGGTCTCTGAGAAACTGGAGATCTGCTGGTTGGCTGTTGAGTCCAGCTGTGTGGGTGTAATTCAAAGGGGTCTCTGAGAAACTGGAGATCTGCTGGTGGTAAACCTGGTGCTGGCAGAAGAGCCGGAGACAAGCTGCATGGAGGGGGGTGTTTTTGGGAGCGGAGCGGGATTTTGTCTGCATCCTAAACCCACTCAGCACATGTCTTGCCCATGACACAAGTGTGATATTATGCGGATGAAGCATGAGCACTCCCACTGGATTCAAGAAGAGTGAAAAACAACTCCCCTCCCACTGTCTCCAACCATGTGCTGTGGCACAGCTTAGGATACTATGGTTGCTGTTCTAAGCACAGTCACGCCTGTCAAATTCTGCTGAAGTGTATGGGCTTAGAAGGGTGTAACTCCGCTCAGTCGACAGCCAATCGCAGCTCCTATAAACTCCATGACCTCCTATATAAACCCTAGCCACAACACACATATCTCAAGCATTAAGCTGTGTGCCACGGGGATCTCTCTGGACCTACATCATGCGCTTCAGAGAAAGTACATTTCACACATACAGCTAAGCAAGACAACAAATGTCACCATAGCACAAGGGTCCCCAACACTGTACAGCCGGTGGGCACCTTTGGAATCCTGACAGAGTGCAGTGGGCGCAGCCATAAAATGGTTCCCACGGGAGGTGGAGCCAGGCACAAAATGGCTGCCACAGATTACTTTCAGTCACATAGTGAAGAGCCTTGTGCTGTGATGGCAGCTAGAGCCAAAGCAACGTTTTAAAAAAATCTGCACAGTCAATCAAATCTCCGATGGCCAATCAGAAACCTTACTGGACAAAGGCCCCACCCGGATATGTCCACTTTCTAAAGACACTTGGCAGGCAGTCACCAGGAAAGGTGTCAGCAGGTGCTACAGCACCCATGGTCACCATGTTGGGGACCCATGCTATAACATATTGCTACCCCTGCTTTGCTCAGAACTCCAGCAGGTAGTCCACCTGCAGATACAAACACCAAACTGGGCCCTCCTCCTTCAAGTGGGGGGGAAGCAGGGACAGTGCATCTCACACAGGAAAGGATACTGCATGCCTCAGAATGTGACTACCACAAACCTCCCTGATCCTACTCCCAACAGTGTAGCTACCAGGGGTGTACATTCGGCATAAACCAAGCCAAATAAATACCCGAATAATACCAGTACGGTATTATTCGGGTATTCCCTCAACTGATTCAGATTTGAGAATCTGATTTTGGCTACCGATATAGTGATCCCGATATAGTGATCCTGAATAAAAGCCGAAATTAATCGGCTCTTATTCAGGTCTAATCAGTAATATTAAATAGCGGCTGTTAGGCTAAAATGGCTGCCAGCCAGTTAAACCTAACAGCTGACGGGTGGACTTGTTGGGCTGTCAGGTTTAAATGGCTATATACTAACAAAGCCAATCACCAGAAAAAATGTTACCAATAATCAAGAGAATAGAAGGGGGGAGATCTGAGATTTTCCCTCCCTCCTTTCTGATGGTGGGCTGCCCAGTAGAGCCCCAGACAAGCCTGCAGGGAACTCATGCCGCTTCAAGTTCACTTGCGCATGGCTTGGCTTGCAAAAGCCATTTAAAGGGAAAGTTCCTTTTAAGAAGGGGGTGGGTGAACTCATGCCGCTTTGACTTCACTCGTGTGCAGCTTGGCTTGCAAAAGCCATTTAAAGGGCACTTTAAAGGGCACTTTAAAGGGAACTTTCCCTTTAAATGGCTTTTGCAAGTCAAACTGCACACAAGTGAAGTCAAAGTGGCATGAGTTCACCCACCCCCTTCTCCATTATACCCCAAGGGGAGTATAATGGAGCTGAATAAATTCGGCAATCCTGATACTGGGATTCGGGAAAATCAGGAAATACCAATATTTTAAAGGTCAGTACACCGAAACCCAAAAAATACCAATTTTTTTTTTTTGCACACCCCTAATAGCTACTGTGCATTGGCTCAACAACCATTCCCCTCTCAAGAATTGCTATGAGTGTTGTGGGCACAGGGTAAGTATGCTTACTGAGGAACACTCTCCTATCCCAAGAGATGCTTTTGGCCCCAGTGAGGATTCCAAATGCCCGTGGGGTGACCTTTCCCTGTACGCTCAGTTGGCTGCATATAGTTAGAAGGACAGTCTGAAGCGTTTGAAGTGTGTGTGAATTCTAGTCCTACCTCTCCATTCTATCCTGTTGGTAGTGGGGATTGGCACTTTCCAAAAGACGAAGTTTGCTTTATCAAACCAGTTAACAAAGCAGTGCTTTCTCCCACTGAGTCACCAGGTAGGAGACAGGAAAGCCTTCTGTGAATGCTCCAATGTACCTTGTTCTTTTGCACCTGCTTCTCTCGTCTTGCAAATAGCCTCATATATAGAAACCTCATTCCCACAGTGGGGCTGGAACTCTCCTCTGGGAGAGGCCATGTACTTTCCCTGAGGTTTCCTCTCCTGTGTAAGCTCTGGAGTGGGGCTAACTGACATGCTTGGTCATTCCCTGTGTGTCTGTAGAGGTGGATTCAAGCCCCCATTTGTAGAGAAAATCTTCTACCCAGTGAAGGGTGCTGTGCTGCCTGTACTTCCTCCTTGTCCTGCTCTGTGGCCAAGTGGAGCACAGTGGCATCGGAGGTGCCTTGGCGTGCCCTGGAGGGGTATTCCATACACAGCTGATATGGGAAGGTCATTGCCAGGCTGCTTTGTGAGTGGAGGGTGCTGGTGGAGCTTCTGTGGGCTCAAGTGATGTTCTTCCTCAGTCCCTGGGGTTTATTGTAATAATTGCATTCTGCTTAGTTGCAACTGACTCACAGTGACTTCAGGCCATGAGGTTTTCAAAGCAAGAGCCATTCAGAGGTGGTTTGCCATTGCCTGCCTCTGCACAGCAGCCCTGGTTTCCTTGGTGGTCTCCCATCCAAATACTGAACAAGGCCGACCATGATTACCTTCCAAGCGCTTGGTGAGACTGGGCTACTCTGGGTTAACAGGCTACTGAGGTTACATTTTTAAAAGACATCTTTTCTCTGCCAAGAGAGCAGAAGGTATAGACCAGGGTGGCCAAACTTGCTTAATGTAACAGGCACACAGAATAAACATCAGATTTTTGAGAGTCACAAGACATGAACGAATATTACACACATCCCGCAGGGCTCTTTTTGTAGCAGGAACTCCTTTGCATATTAGGCGACACACCCCTAATGTAGCCAATCCTCCAAGAGCTTACAGAGCTCTTCTTACAGGGGCTACTGTAAGCTCTTGGAGGATTGGCTACATTAGGGGTGCGCCGCCTAATATGCAAAGGAGTTCCTGCTACAAAAAGAGCCCTGCGACACATGTTTTTATTGAAAAACATGCAAATTTGCTTTATATTAACATTAAATTAGACGGTGTGAAAGAGTCGCATGTGGCTCTCGAGCTGCAGTTTGGCCACCCCTGGTATAGGCTCACTATGCCAGCATTGCATTGATGTCCACAATATTCCAGAGTTGCAGGATTATGGGCTGGGATGATAATGATCTATTGACAAATTGGGGAGGGGGGGGGAGAACCCCATTCCAAAACTGTCGCATTGCCCAGTTGCGGTTTACTGACTGCACAGGGCAAGTATACTGAACAGGATGGGCACGAACCGGTTCACGAGCCAAAATTCAGCACGAACTTGGCCCGGTTCGTAGTCCCTGAACCGACATTTGGGGAAGGTGCCTTCCCCGAACATTTACTGGACTTTTGCCCAGTTCGGGCCATTTCCGCCTTACAGCAGACGGGCACACCAGCCCCGCTGTTAGGCTGAAGTGGCTCAGTCCATTTCGCTTCCCTCTGCTGGCTGGAAGCCATTTCGGCTATTTGTTTCCTTTCTCCCCATCTCCCTGCTGTTAGGCTGAAATGGCTGTGAGCCATTTAAGGCTAACAACCGGATGGGCCCACCTGTCAGCTGTTAGGTTTAAACTGATGCGAGCCATTAAACCGGTCCATTTCGTTCCCCCCATGCCACTACCTACCTCCGATACAAACGAATACAACAACGTCTACGTGTGGAGGCCCAGTCCACGTTAACACGGAACACTGACCTGTTCTTCATTAGACGGACTTCCCTCTTTCGTGCTGCTTCCTCTGCTGGCTGAGTGGGAAGTGCGGGTGAGGATGCCATAACCACACCAGGTGCGATGGTGCTGGTGGGCGCTGTGCGGATTTGGTAGGTCTGGACATCTCCTGAGGCCGCTAAGAGGGAAAAGTGTCCCAGGGGAGGGGGAAGAGCATGAGACGTGACAGCTCTGGAAGACCACTGAATGGAAGAGCAGTGGAAACAAACCCCATTTCCATACAAACAAAGGGCCCTTTTAGTGTTACTTGAAGTGGGACGGAGGTGCCTGCCACCCCACACTGCAGTGACAATGAACTAAGCTGCACAGGCTCTAGCTGCATTTGCACCTTTTCTGTAACACAGCAGCAATACTCTGGCCTCTCTCTCTGTCCTTCCAGCCTTTCTTGGCCTCTCCGCGACTACCTCAGTCTGCTGCTTTGACTCTTCTCATGCACTCTCATCTTCTCCTGCCCAGACCCTTTCTTGGGTTTGATGGCCTCCTCGACACTGTTCCCCAAGTGTTAATTGCCCCTCCAATCTCTTTCCAACTCCACCCTCCCTACCTGTGGCCTCTGCGGCTGCTTCTGCAACCTGTTCAAGCACTGTTAGCTTCCCTGCCAGTACCTGCCCTTCATGTTCTCCATCTGCCGCACTTCAAAGGCAATGCTGCTTTCTCCCCTGGGCTTCCCCTGCCTGATTCGTATGTGGGCACGTTCAATTTAACTTATATTAATTGCTGGGACCTTTCAAGAACACTGCTGAGCCCTAGCTCGGTTGCCTTGATTTACTCAACTCTTTTCTCCCAAGGATAAAAGGACGTTCTCACCATGATTAGGTGACTTTTGCCAAAGACTACTTGGCAGTGCCAGGAACTAAATTCTACAGGAAGGACAAAAATAACATTTCCCCCCCTGATGGAAATACCGGCTTATTACAGCTTTGTTTCTCTCGTTACTCTGGATGGCAGCGTTCAGAACCTAAAAGCCAAATTATTAGCTACCCCGCCCAAACTAGTTTATCACTCGTTATTTCCCAGACAAGTAGAACACTTGGTAACCCTTCCCAAACACACGATGTTTCATCAGACCGCCATGCTTCACAATGACGCTCACTTGATATATTCGGGGAAGCCGATTTCAAAAGTGAACACAGATCTGGTGTCAGGTAAGGAGGAAGTGCCGTCAAGTTGCAGCTGACTTATGGCAACCCTGGAGGGTTTGCAAGACAAGAGACAAACAGGGGTGGTTTTCCCACTGCCCGTCTCTGGGCTTGATGGTCTCCCATCAAAGTACTAACCAAGGCCAACTTTGCTCGGCTTCGGAGATGTGAGGAGAGCGGGTTAGCCTGGGCCGTCTACTACGTCTTGTACGAACTCCTTCAGGATGTTCTTACCTTGAACGACAACTTGGTTGCTGGGCACGAGGATCTGCTGCCCGTCCGTGGTCTGTGCATACTGTAAAATGGTGGTACCGGGCTGGGTGGCAGCAGCGTTGGGGATGGTCAGCGTCTGCAGGCCCTGCACTCCGTCTGTGCCGTTGTTCGCTAACTGTATTGCACCTCCCTGTGTGATAGCAACTGAAAGGGGGCAGATTTGAGTTGGCGGTTAGATGATTTAAGTCCCTCGTTATCAGGCACACAAACGATTTACAAAGTGTAGTTCCCACTCCACCCCGAAAAAAACAACCCCCACCAATTATAACTAAAGTGGCTTGAAGCCCTTTGGTGCCGTGTTTTATATTGTGTGTGATGACACGGTGGCTCCTGGATCGTTTCATCCACTGAATGCGTGATGGCCTGGCCCTGACACTGCAGTCCCAGCAGCGGAGGCTTTGCACCAGATTCCTCGTGCCAGGACTAGATTCCCCCCCCCTTCCGTGGGCAGCCACGAGCTGCTTGGCGAGGGGTTGATATGGTGACTCCCCCAAAAGCTCCGGGTAGTTATGCACAACATGGCAGGTATCCCTGCACAGCATCTGGTGGAAAGCCTGCCCCTCTCCATAGCCCTGCCACAGGAGTGCTAAGCCGCATGGACTGGGGAACGAGAAAGCACCAACCAGCAGGAGTTCATTATAGCACCTCAGTTGACACATGAATCGTTATGTAGGTCAGTGGAAAGAACGCTCTCATCTCTCTGCCAGCGCCACGTCTAGGCTACTTGCACCACTGCTATGGTTATGACTGTTGTTTTGGTTTTTTTTAAAAAAAGCTTCATTGAACTAATCATTTCTTTCCTCAAGCATAAAAGCTGCCCTCTTTTTATAAGGCCAAAGAATACATTTAGCTGGTTTTTCCGCATCCCCCCAATTATGCTGCAAAGGCAGCCAGGAAGATCTGGCCTTGGTTCAGCAAACGTCAGCTCCCACAGATATATGCAAACAACATTTTATTTATTAATAAGGTAATTCTGAAGAAAAACGCTTTTAGCTCTGTTCGATGTATAGGAAACTTTATGTGCATTTATCTTGCACAGTGTGGTATTTCACTTTTTAATTCTTTTTTTTAATGGTTCAAGAATAGGGAGAGTCAATTTTTGAATAAAGATCTTTACTGAGATTACATACAGGCTGGCTAATGTGGGGGGAAAAATATTTTGTTATCAACAGAAAATTAGCTACAAACCATCACCGACATAATTAATCAAAGCCAACCAAAGCAGCAATCTACTTGTGGTGGCATGACTCTCTAGCACAAGCTCTGGTCACCTGATAGTTCAGAATGCATCGTTTCCCTTTCCTCCCTAACAGAACGGCTTACGTGTTCCGGCGTTACTATTTAGGATGTTCTCTCAGACAGAACTCTGTTATTCCTGCACGTTTGCCTCATTTCTCTTTGTTCTTCACACGCCATTCCGCTGCATCACAGTTGTGTTTCCTCATTTTGTTACAGTCTATTAGATAAGCATATGGAGCAGAGGTCCATCAGTGGCTATTAGCCACAAGGTATAGATAGGGGCTCTGGGGCGAGTGATGCTCTGTTTTCTTGGTGCTTGGGGGGGTCAACAGTGGGAGGGCTTCTAATGTCCTGGCCCCACTGTTGGACCTCCTGATCCCACTGGTGGACCTCCTGATGGCACCTGGTATTTCTGGCCACTGTGTGACACAGAGTGTTGGACTGGATGGGCCTTTGGCCTGATCCAACATTGGCGTCTCTTGTGTTCTCTTATGTTCCTTCATGGAATCCCTGAGTTCGCTACATCCCCGTTCAGGCTCCAGCAGGTACACCATTCACACCTGGCCCCTTCACTCAACGCTTCTAGCACGGACTCCTCTGCTCTGCCACATATGCACCAATCCATTCATGCAGACAATACCTGCATTGCCATATTGATGGTGGATATCGGCAACACCAGTCCCTAAAAGAAAATCAGGACCACACTGGGGAGGAAGCAGATGATAGTTCACTACGCCCTCCGTCCTCCCACCCACCCTTGAAAAATTTGCCACGTAAGGATGAACCACACAACCACACTTTCTCAAGTAATGACTGCAACTAGGCTTTGCCTGTGGGAGATGGCTAATCCCAGAGCAAGGATCACGGGGCCAGCATCGACGGCAGGGGAACCGTAATGTGGTACTTGCTAGCTGCTCTCGACGGCTTATGTCCACCAGCCCATCAGTCAGAGGGCAAAACGGGCTCCTGATGCCGGGCAAAGATGGCCCCCTCTGCCCCTAGACAGGCCACTCCCTCTTAGGGGGTGGCCTGCTTGGGCTGCAGAAAGACCCTTGAGATGCTGCAGAAGCTGGGACTCACGGGCCCCAACGTCCCCCTTCAGGCACTGCTCACCACCCTGGCACAGCAGGGCTGGGTCTGGCCTTTGGCACCTGGGAAACCAGCTGCAACCAAGGTTTTCATTCATTCTTTCCCAGCGACACTGCTTATAGGACTGGCCTGTTACTGTGCTCTTGGGTTTGTTTCCACACATTTTCTTTTTTCTCCTATTCAGCATGTCTGGCGTCACATTTTAAAACTTAAAAACATGGATCCGAACACTTTGTTTTGTTTTTATTAATACTGTGCTCTTCCTTTGGTGTGCCTAGTTCATTTTGGGCGCTTTGGATTGAATACGCTTTTCCTCACCAATCACATAATAGTAACAATAATGATGATGATGATAATGATAACAGTGCCGTACTGTATTGCCCGCTGCTCGTCTGGTAAATTGGGGTTGGCACCGTCACGGTAGCGATGGCAGGTGCTGCCGCTTCCTCTTCGGATTTTTCTTCTTCAATCCGTGGCACTCCCGGGGCGTCCGAGGACAAGTCGTTCAAGATTTTTCTGAAAGAGAAAGAGTACTGAGAAACCTC